CCGAAGATGCCCGTCATGAGACCGGGAAGTAATTTCTGCATGACAAGAATTTCCTGCGAGAGCTCAATGCGTGCTATCTGCATGACTCTGTAGTTGGCAGTCCAGCTGGCAGAGTTGAATCCTAATACGTGGTGGACGGCGGGATGAGGGATGGGCTTCCTGAGGTAGAGTACAAAGGATCGCAGGCGCAGGCGGAGGAGATACAGTCTCAAGATGAAGATGGCGGCACGGAGAAGGGGCCTGGCTGGAAACCCGAAGGTCCGATGCGTGGCGGTTGTGGACGTGACAAACACATAGATTTACACAAGCCCCCTGCCCCCCTTCTCCCAAGACACCCCCAAAGTGTGCCCCCCCCCCCCCCCCCCCTAAAAATTTGGGCCACCCCAGGTTTAAAATTCCTGATAAACCCCTGTCCGGAAGTGAGAAAGCTGTGTGTATGCATAAGGCGTGTATTTGGTGCGCACCTCGGAGGGTTCTGCCGGTTGGGCACTATCAACACCATCATAGGCGTAGACTTCGGCGGGAAAGGGGGGGGGGGGGGGGGGGCAGAGCCCTCCCCCACCTCCCCCCTTGGGCCCGGGCTATGATCCTTACCAATCGATGTCTACGTGCCATGTAATGAGCTTCTATAGTAGCGGCATGTAAACAAAATAACGCCCACGTTGCCTTTATTGACAAAATACATGGGAAATGGAATCCCAGTGTGCTCGAACAAGAGGGACAAAGGGTAAACACAAATCTCGAGAAGGAGAACAAGGGGGACAAAGGGTAAACACAAATCTCGAGAAGGAGAACAAGAGGGACAAAGGATAAACACAAATCTCTAAACATAGCTAGGTGACTGGACTGGTGCGTGACCGAAAAAATCTGCCTGATCCGGGTATCTAACCCGGACCAGGCGGATTTTTTCGGTTGCGCACTCGCTTGCAAATTTGCATTGAATTGCATTATAATCAACACCATGCTGTTTTTCCACCCAATTTGTTAGTGCTTGCCTAAGTCAAATATAAGTCGTTCAAACAAAACAGACATCTACCAGCAGGCATAAAAAACAGTTGCTCCACACATTATTTTTACCTTTGCTCTTGTTTCGGTTTAAAAGTAACGTCCAGAATCCACATCCAAATCCGAAGTCACTTCTAATCCCTTTGTTTGGTTCTTTTGGTTCGGTGGTTGGCGCCTTGTTGGCCTTGTCTGTACCTCTGTACTGTACTGTGCTGTGCTTATACGTCTTGATGGATACGCTTGCACTTTATAGTTTCGATGACGGCTCTCTTGGCGTTGCAACTGTCAAATTCATACGGGATTATAATCCTGTATGCCACAACGCCAAAGTGTGGCCGCGATACAAGGACGCCACTCAAAAAAAAAACTGGGTTAAAGTGAATTGGCCCAACCAGGACAAGTCTGGTAACTCAACAGGGGGTACAAGCGTCCACGCCGCTCAGGTCGTCCGTTTCGGAGGTACGTTTCTTACGTCTTATATTTGATCGAGCTTCGCGATAAATGAGCATGATTTCGCTAAAGCCTGGACTTCGTGGAGCAAATATACGAAGGACGATGTTTGCCCGACAGCGTTTGCTCTGCGCGGTGCGGGTGCCGCAGGGCGGTTGTTCGCTTCGTATTCGCTCTAGTGGGTTCAACCTTAATCGGATAAGCTGTGAAATGAGATTCGCAGTGCCTAGCGTTACGTCCGACGGAGCTCCGAATACGTAGTGTGTAGAGTACCGTCCGACGGCACTCTTGCAGAGCGTTCAAGTGCCGTCCGACGGTACTCTACTCACGCATTGAAATGCCGTCCGAAAATCTCTTATAAAACGAGTTCTCAAAACGAGTTTTTCGAAAAGTGTAGCTTAGTCAATAAAGAAAAAAAAAAAAAAAAAAAAAAAAAAGGGAGTGTAGCTTAGTGGTAAGATATGTCTCATAAGCAAGCGATCCCGGGTTCGATCCCCGGTGCGTGCTTACTTTTTTTTTTTTCTTGAACATTTTATTTTGCCGACGCATTTGCCGATATTTACATTTTTTTTTTTTTTACGATTAAAGGGGTTATGGCGTGAAAATTAAACGGATAGATTATTCTTGAAATGGAATGCTCATAGGCTACTTAGTATATACACCAAGTGACGCGATTTTTAGAGCTCTGGTAATAGCAATATTCAATTTACGAATTTTTATCATTTTCATCTGGCGACCAGGCAGCACTGCCCAAGTTAGTCACACCATGGTGTCCATAAACCAGGTGACCATGAACACTCTCTCATTCTAGACGCCCCCATAATTGCTCAAGCTCTCCTCGTCGCGGTACTGGCGGTACAATCAAAACCGCTCACACAACTCGGTAACCCGAAAGCTATTCTTGCTCTCACCCCCGGCCCGTTGACCTTCCACCCTGCATGCGCCTGTGAGATATTCCCGGACGACGGTGACCACGGCGAGTTCATCCGTTAAGGCCCGTTCACACTCTTGCGGCCGAGTTAGACCGAGAGAGACCAGACCGGTTTTTAAGCCTCTTGCGACTTAGGACCAGCTCCACTGCATCGCATCCGGTCCTAAGAAGTCGCAAAAGCTTTAAAAACCGGTCTGGTCTCTCTCGGTCGAAGTCGGTCGCAAGAGTGTGAACGGGCCTTTACTCGTCGTCGCTGGAGCTGGTCGCCAGTGGGTCGCAGTCAAAATGAACAGCTTCCAACATCTCTAGATAGCAATCACTCTCGTCGCTGCTGCGATCAATGTCGAACACTTCGACAAGGCGAGCGATGCCGTAAACGTAATCATTACGGACCCCATGCTCGAAACATGGAAGGTAAACGAGGAAGCTGAGGCTCGATAAGCCAAGCGAGCCAAGTCTGTGAGTGCGTGCAAGGAGACACCGCGCTGGAGGCTGGCTACGTAGCCAACCTTCAGCTCCGCCCGGATCTGCTCCTTCGAGGGGCTTGCATATAAATCGATTTATCCACAAAACTATCGCGCCATTTTCAAAACAAATTTAGCAGGATTATAGGAACATAATATGAGTCCTAGCAGTATAGTTATCTCATATTTTATCTTTGACGTGTCATAACTTCTTTAACACAGGAAAAAACTAATGTCACCGAAATTTCGCTGAACGAAGTGCTATGGGACTTTGTTTCCGGAAGTGCATGGGGTTCAGCGGGGCTTGGTTTGCTGGCTGGAGCCACTTACACAGCGCTGTGTAAGTGGCTCTTTCTTTTGTGTGCATGAAAGCTTAAGAGTGCTTGTTTTGGGGGTGCGCTGTTTTCTTGTCAGTTATGAACAACCAACTCGCCCAAACCTCCATTTTAACAAGTCTATTGTCCTTCTCACACCCAAGCAGCCCCCTCGAAACAGCTTGTTATTTAAGACACTCTGGAAGAATTCACTGCAAAATTTAGTGCGCGTGGCAACTTGAGTGGTACGTGAAGATTGTGCCAGCTGCCAACAAGTCTGAGGAAACCCTGCTGCTGTAAACAGCACGTTCATGTCACATTCTTAGGAATTGCTTCGAACGTCCGTTATTCTCAGAAACCGTCACAAGAAACACGAGAAAGAAGAAAAAAAAATGTAATGGGCATCTGTACCTGGAAGTACAGATGGAGTCGCTTTTTTAACCAATTAAGGAATGCTGCATCGGACGTAACGTAGGAATAATTCACAATATGCTTGTGTTTATGTCATGTACCGGCAGTAAACCGTAATATTCAATAAGGTCGTGTAGGTTACACAGGACGTAACTTCCGTTGAAACGTTCCTTTCTAGCACAAGCGCTATTTCCACGCAAACACTTTTCCACTTAGGTGCAGAAATTGAATGCGTGTTAGGGTTATTTATGTTTCACCTCAAAGTGCTTGTACGTAGGTGAAACATAGGACCTCAATTTTCGTATGTAATGCTTTGTTGCTCTTCAGTCTCCCGTCCCGAGCTGGAGAAGCTCTTAAACAAGATGCTGGACGAGCGGAATGCTGTGCCCAAGAAGGACGAGGTAAGCAGCTTTTGTGGAACAAGCAGTTGGAAACTTTGCAGCATCACTTTGGCAGTGCATCAGTGCAACTTCCCTACACTGCGGTGCCTGGAATGCATCTCCGACTGGTGTGTTTAGCATCCTATACCGCCCATGCATTGAGTGCGGTACCACAGTGGCAACAAATTACCTCATAGGGGCTGCCATGTCATGTTGTCATCTGTGGTGACCCTGGTGGTTGGTTGTAGTTCCAACTGCTGTTGGAAAAAGTGGGCAAACGCAAGCGTCGCTGTCATTGCGGCTAGAGCCACTTTATATGGCAGCTAAAAGCTTTAGCTGCCAGAGAAGCAACATTAGGCCAAAAGTGCTAGACACAACACCTAAAGCGGCAGCGGAGATCTCCATTTTGGCCGTGGGAGGTTGCCAGCGCCTCTAGCGACCGTTTGATCACTCTTCGTTTGAGCATCCTGATTTAAGTTTGGAATACGGACGAGTGATGTTGATGTAGGCACAGATTATTTAACTTACACAGAAGAAGCTCTAGGATAAAGTCAACCCCAAATCTCATGTGTCGGAAAGGCCTCCCACTTGAGTATCGTCGGGGGCAGGAGTAGCAGACGGTGTCTGAATCCTGTCCAAGCGCGTTTGGCGATCCTCAGTGCAGCCCGTTGCTATGGAAACTGAGTCAGCTTGGGTCGTCTCCATAATGACATACTGACCAATTGTGGCGGGAGGTGGCATACAAAAAAGAGTGCCATTACTCTGGTAGCTAGCTGCCATATAGGGTGGCTATAATCGCTGCATCACAGCCCGTGGCTGCATAAGCTGCTGTTCATTGGCTGTCTGCAGAGTGAGATAGAGCATAACAAGCATCTGTTGTCTCCACCCCCACTGTTGTGCCACCGCTAGGATTGCCACCAACGTGATATCACATGGCGGAAATCGGAAGACCAGAAATGAGGATGCAGTATACGCATAATTTGGAGATGCGTTAGGTGCCATACTTAAACTGTGCTGGTAGTAACAAAGTAACCTATTAAGTGGAAATCTGCATTAATTGAAGATTATGTAATGTACTATCGGCTGCAAAAGTTTACGAACCGCGGGAAGAAACTAAGAAATTTATTTGTGGCGTTGTCCTCTAGTTTGGACGTACTTCACAGGTGTGGGTGATTCATCATCCCTCAAGGAATCGTCTTCACTGAAGAGGCAAGCCCAGACTTTAAGGCAGTGTAGTAAATAATTTCTTTTTGTTTCTTTCCACGGTTTGTAAACTTTTACGCCGATAGCACAATGTAGGAGGAAGTTGGAACTATAATTTGGTTTTAAAATTTTGAAAGAACTTTAAAATTTTGAAAGACCTTATTTTCCTAATTTTACAATTTTTCATCACAGAAAAGGCAAGTCCACAAAAAAAAAGATAACATGGAAGACAGGCTTGTCAAACAGCTTAGGGATGACCTGAGGGAACAGAAGGTATGTATGCAAACTTTTGTTGTGAAGATGTTAGATTTATTGAGAGTTGCATATCAGTAGTCACATGATGTTGCCATTTGGTGTTTGGTTACAGATATTTTTGTATTTCAGAGCTCTCCTCTTAATATGTAATTGTTAGTCTTGTGTGCTGTCTAAAGTGTACTAATTATTATTTAATTTAAGCCAACTTCGAGCTGTTCAGACTGGACGGGTGGCTGGAAAGTGTAGGTTTACTAGTTTAGTAACCTGTAAAGTAAATGCCATATGCTGTTCTTTTCCTCAGCACAAGAAGTAGTCTGAGTGCAGCAGCAGCAGAGCTTTGTGTGCTTACCAGAGGTCACTTCTGAAAAGCACAGGCCAGATTTGCTAATAGCTTCTTATGCTGCTACGACAACTTGGCTAAGAAGTTCATAGGTTATGACGTAGTAAGAAAAGAGAAATCTGTATTCACAAATGCTTTCTTAAATAAGAGGAGGAAAACGACAATCTCTTGCGGAAAAACTACAGCTTGCAGTGTCTTGCAAGTCGTTGCAAGAGGCGACTGTTACTGTGGTGACGGCGTTCTTGGCAATTCCAATAGCCGTTTGGAAAGCTCACCGTGTTGGAGCACGTGCATTTCAACTACAGCAAGAAACAAGGGCAGGAGGTTATGGCTTGCTTCTCTTGCAACACTTGTGTGTTGACCTGACCGTGCTTAGTAAAGTGCTAATACCGCCGCAGGGCAAATGCTCTTGAATGCTGAGCTTCACCGAGGACGAGGTAACTCTTGGTTATGAAGCCTACAAAACTTTTATATATGCTCAAGGGGCAGCCTGCATGCCTCGCTTGCAAAGCGGTGCATAAGTGAACAAATTGTCACATTTTTTTTCTTGGTCTTAAGGATCTGAGAGGGGATGGACAACATAAAAAGGGAGTCACATAAATTGGTGATCCAATATCGCGTACCAGCCATGGCTCCCAAGAAATATGCTCGCTCCGTGTTGATATTTCTACCTCTATTACATCTGAATAAAAAGCACCTACACAGGGGTGGAACGGCTGCGCCATTTGCGCCATTTTGCGCCAGGCGCATTTGTCTGCGCCATCCTGCGCCATGTAGTGGAAACTGCGCCACAGCCAATACCTCGCGCCATTATGCACCAAATCGCAAAACGTGCGCCAAAAAAAAAATTTTACTTAGTCTTGGTTTCGGTTTTCATCGACTCGATTGGCAACAATGAGCACGTTTAGCTTGCTCGGCCTTTCAATCCTTTGTTCTGTTTATTCTCCCTCTGTATCCCGAGTCGAAAGCGCGCGAGAAAAACTCGGGGGTCGGATTCTAAGCGCTCCACCACCTGGGAAGTTGGAACCGCATTTCCGCAAGATAAGTCGTGATTTGATAGAGCTGAAACGCTGTCCGATCCGAAACTTTGACGGTCAGCACCTCTCACGAGATTTTAATCTTGCTCCTGCTTATCGCTTCGAATACGATAACTCCCTTAATTGTAGTCTGCTGCTTCGATATTGAGCTGCACAATAGGACCAACGCGAAATTCGTTGCCCTGTTCCTCCGCGCAACTGGACGTCCGTTGCATATGCACGTCTAGTAGTTCGCACATATAATTACTAAGTCGAGCACGTGTGGGCTGTGCGATAAGCAGTGCTGGTTTCCATTTTGAACGGCTGAAAGCCGCTCAGAAATAATCAAGGACACTGCCTCCAGAAACATGAAAGTTTCAAGTTTTCGCATCTGTTACACTGTTATCCCATTTACATAAATCCCTAACCACTCATGTTCATCTGTGCTGCAAAGCACAATTGAAATTGCTCCCGTGCTCGTCAAAGACACAAGCTGAGGTGAAATGAAAACTGATCTGAGCTGCTCCTAGCCTGCTCCAAGATGTAGTTTTAGCTGCTTCCAACCTGCTCCAAAACAGCTGTTTCAGCTGCTCCCGTGGCTGCTCCCATGTACATTTCATGAGTTCCACCCCTGCTACAGCATATCCCATCCGCAAGACCACTTTGCAACGAGAAACTGCGTCTATTTTCAAAAACGCATTTCCTGGCCTGCCAGTCATCCTCCACTATGATAATGAAAATAGGCGATTTTCTAAATCCCCAAGCACCCTGGTCGTATGATTGCTTGAGTGCGGGCGGGGGCGCTTGACGGGATTTAAAAAATGGTCTATTCTGAGACGAGGGTACACTGCTAATCACCAAATTGAGGTCACACTATTCATACCTGAAGGGTTCACCAAAGAGTTGTTTCCGTGTTCCCTTCCATTGAATCATCATGACGTGCCTCACTAAGCTTTAGGTAAGCTCAATGGAATCGTCGGCTGCGTGCTGCACCAATAGTTTTGCATTCTTTCTCTTTTGCAGCTTGAAGTTGAGATTCACACGAACTGTGTGCAGAAAAATGCCCCCTGCTCGCTCCCTAAACTACAGAGTGTCACAAAAAAGATTTACAGGGCTTTTTACACCGCAAAACAAACTAGGCATCGCCGAACGCTCATTCTCCGCCCGCCCAAAGGTAACGCTAGAGGTCACAACCAGATGCCAAAGTTTCAGCCCGATTCAATAACTTAATCAAAAGTTATAGGTGATTTTCTGAAAATTTTAATGGGAAAATGGAGCCCATGTTTGCCTGTTTTCGGTTTCTGGTGCCATAGAGCCCCATGTATTCGAAAGCTCCGTCGGCCGCCATTTCTCCATTGAAAGTTTCGGAAAATCACATAACTTTTGATTAATTTATCGGATTGGGCTGAAACTTTGGCATTTGGTTGTGACCTCAAGCACTACCTTTGGGCGGAAAATGAGCGTTCGGCGATGCCTAGTTTTTTTTTTGCTTTAAAAAAGACCGTGTAAATTTTCTTTCGTGACAACCTGTACTTAATCCCTGTACGTAAGTGACGTGTGGTCGTGTTGATCCTAAGAAGTTTGTAGGACACCTCGGGGGCTGTCGCAGGACTTTGTTGCGAGCTATGTAAAACTTACAATAATTTTGTCTCACGAATATGAATTTTTCTCCAGATTCGTCGTAACATTGTTTCATGAATCCAGCCTCCGTTGCTTAGGGCTTCTTTTATCATACTTAGTTGTTCAAATCTGATAATATGCCATCACATGCGCATATCATTTGTTGTCTATAGCTCTTGCACGCATCTCCTGGTGGCCTGGAGGAGCCGACCGACTTGCCGCCACAAGTTCAAGAGCCTCTCGCGGTACCTGCCCTGGCCAGGGCCGAAGAGAGTGGGGCAAGGGTCTCCTATGCAGATGCCATGGCTGCAGTGACCGAGGCCAGGGCTCAGGCCGAGGCGAGGGCTGTACTCGCCGAGGCTAAGGCAGAGCAGTCTGAGGCCAGGGAAAAGGAAATCTCAACCAAACTGGAGCTAGCTGAGGCCAGGACGGAGGAGATTGAGGCGAGACTGGAGCAGGCCGAGGCCAGGCTGGAGCAGGCCGAGGCCAGGCTGGAGCAGGCCGAGGCCAGGGCAGAGGAGGCCGAGGCCAGGGCAGAGGAGGCCGAGACCAAAGTGCTCCAAGGTAGAGCACAGATGACTTTTGTGCTGGACGATCTCCTTCCTGCTTTGAGAGGTATGACTGAATTCCCAAATTTCTGGAAACTTCTTGATCATATCCCATTTTTTATGCCTAAGCTAGAGTAAAATATTCACTCTTGTTTTGATTACCACGTGGACTAGGAGCATAACCTGTTTATACTGCAATGGGAGAGAGACTCGAAATAGTTTCTAGAAGGTTTGATCTTAATCAGCTTTGAAACATACTTTAACATTGTTTGCTTTCATTCAGAGTGTTTGTCCTGTGATTATATATTTCCAACTCCACATCAGGTTCAAGATTTTCTTCCAGCATGTTTTCAAGAACTTCGAAATCTACACACGTTTGCAAGCCCGGTTTCAGGGTGCCGCCGCCTTGCTCGGTTACGGCCTGCGCAAGTGCGTCATAATCCGTTTACGAAGCCTTTCTAAGTCGTCGTAATCAGATTACGGAAGCCTTTCTAAGGCGTCGTAATCAGATTACGACTGCACCCAAGCGCACCCCAATGAACAAGATGGTGGTGACCTGAGATCAGATTTGCAAACGTGTATTGTAAGCCTGCTGGTTTCGACGGTTCTTAAAGATGCACTAAGGATGTTTCCGAAATTGTCTGTTCTCGGTGCTAAATCCTTCTACAGGCTCTAAGCATCCTAAAAATCCAAAACTTACGGTGATGTGGCGCTTATTTCCCTTCCAAAAATGTGATTTAAGATAGGGAGACGCCTCTTCCTGAGTAAAACTTTGCGCTGAAGAAGGGCAGTGCATAACCTGGCCGAGGCGACGGTGGGCTGATGAAAGGCGCTTGTCAGTCAATTGCAAGCCGCCTCTTTGATGGCAGACAACGCAGCGTTGTCTGCTGGGTCGTTGCCGGTAAGCGCTCTATTATTATGGGATGGTTGAGGTTCTCTCACCCTCTAGCCTAGCTGTTGAGTTGACAGTTGGCATCGGCATCGAAAACATTGAAGTACTATAACAGAATTATGATTTCTGTGCGAGATTAGAGGACGACAGTTTTAATTTTATGGTGGACACTTCTTTTTCGCAGATGTGCCACAGATTCTTGCAAGCCTTCAGCATCGTGAAGCAGCGGGCCCCATGCTTCCAGGAGTGCCCGGGAATGTGATGGAGAACACGGTATGTAGACATTCTCTGTTTACTATATGTTTGAACGGAGCCGTATATTGGAAGAGTCTGGCCAGTGGGTGCGGTAACGAAGGTGCTGGAGAGGAGAAAAGTGAAGGAAAGGGAGGAGAGGAGTGATGGTGATTGCTGCGCCAATTGCGCCAGACTGCGCCAAAGGGCTAACCCTGCTACATCCTGCTACATTTTGCCAAGATATGGGTAATTGTGCCAAGCTTGCGCCAAAGGACCAATTTTGGTTGCCTTTCAAAACCAAAACTAAACTGAGAACCGTAATCGAGCATGCGTGAGCCAGATGGCGCAAGCGGCCTCCCGACTTACCGTACCTTGCATCAATCGTCTATCCGGTCTTGCATGGTTTTTTCCGCCGTCTTGCATTTTGCGCTTTCGTCGTCTCAAGGATTTAGTCTCTCGTGTCTTTTAAAAAAAAATATTCAACGATAGACGCAGGCATTTGCGGACGGTCCGACGTCAGTGTGCTGGGAGCCGGACCTGTCGCCATGCTTTGAAAGAAAACCATCAAAACCACGTTTTTGCGCGGCGAGGGTTACTTTGTGAGTTGAAGCGCTCGCACGACCACAGTCGCCGTGGTCACGCGACGTCGCGTGTTGCCGTCTCCACATCGCTGCAGATATGGGGCTTGCTAAACTGAAGCGCATCGAGATTCCTGTTCTTGTTTAAATCATACACTGCTACAAAAATTCCTATTTAACTCTAAGCTGCTGCGAAGTATTGACTACCTAGGTTTCTCTCGATGGGCTTTCTTTCGAGAGGGACCCCAGTACGTGAAAAATCTGCCGCGAAAGAAGGTTGATGAAGAGAAGTGAGCTAAAGCAAAGAAGGCAATGTCTGCACGCTGAACCCGCACAGCGCTTGTTTGTCACGAGTTCAGTCGTTGCACACGGCGTTTCAAGAACTTTTTGACCCTGGCTCGCGATGTGATATATCGGTGCGCTCAGGTTCTTTTTTTCTGTGTGTTTGGCCTGTACCTCGCATGCCGGCCTGGCAAGCACGTGCCGCTGGACTGTTTATTGTCGTGTGCTGGACAATTGCATTTTGCATACTATTTTGGGAACCAGTTGGCGACGGAGCGGAGTGGCATGGTTTCGGTTTTGATTGAACATCCGTTGTCTCCACTGGCGCGACGAAGCACGTGGAATTGCAAGCCTGCTGAAGTTGCCCTCACGTGCATGCGAACATGATTGCACGACAGATGCACCAGCTGGGACGCTTGCAATTCATTGTTTAACGGTTACTTAATTTTTATAAAAATCTGGCACGTCAGGAGCCAGTAAAACGATGGCTAGGTTGTTGTTTTTTTTTTTTTGGAATTGCTCGGCAGCGCCTACAGCACTGTATACTTGTGGGATGTCTCGGCAGTAAAAACAGAAGCATCGTGTTCCATCACAGCTCGTCACATCAGAACACAACACAAAGTGCCTTTCGTTTGTCCAGCACTTAAAACAAATATTTATATTTCTAAAAATATCTGCTCCAAAAGCCACTTTTTTTTTTTGCACCGAAACACTGTTTTGGCTGCTCCAAAAGCTACTTTCACTGCTCCAAAACACTGTTTTGGCTGCTCCAAAGGCCACTTTTGCTGCTCCAAAACACTGTTTTGGCTGCTCCAAAAGGTTCTTCAAAATGGCTTAGGCCAATCACATCACTGGGAGAGTGCTGAAGGAGCGAGAGGGGAAGAGTAGCAGCTGAAGCGCGCGTTGGCTGAGCGAGTGCTTTAGCTGCTACTAGCAGCGAACTTCCTCGCGCCGCACGCACCGAGCGACCAAAGATGGCGGTGATAGCTTTCAGCACACCAAGAGGTGCACACTGCCGAAGCTTGGGGAGCGTTGAGCGAATGAAGTAAACACATAGGAGTAGGCCTCGCCCCTCGGCTCACTTCCAGGCAGTGCAGCCTGTACCGCGAGCCACGCACTCCTCTGTTTGCATTTCATTTTTCCCTATAGTACCTAAATAGCCAATGAAAAAAAACATTGCCAGGCAACTAGTTGCATGATGCATATGGTTGTGATTTGCACCCCTAGTGGACTTCCTTGAGTGTCTCTAGGGGTGCAAGTTCTTGTGCATTGAGGGGTTAGCTGAAAGATGAAGCTGCAGTTGACCATGCTTTAGAGGTGTGTTACAGCCAGTGTGCGTGTAATCTTGAGGGCACACTTGCGTGGCTGTTTGGAATATTTTACGTCGCGGTCTGGCTCTGTTCATGATGCACTTACTTACCACCAGCATGTCAAGGCTGCGCATGCATGCATGGACTTTAATCTAAAAGGATTCATTTGGATGTGGCCACTATACTTGGTTCTATTTCTATTCTTATATTTCAGGTACACTTCGGTGATATCGTGGTGACCGACGTCCAGATGAAGCGGCTCGACGGAAAGCCGGCATCCCTGTACACACAGGACCTGGCTGTGATGGTGTTCGGGAGCGACGCTCTGGCAGAGTGCTGCCTTTCCGGCTCTGTGACAAAATCATCCCTGCCTAAAGAGCCGGTTCAGGACCTGATAGGTCAGTGAATTGCTGTAAAGAAGACCCTGAATTATCATACAAAATTAATGACAATGTTTAAAAAAAAATGTCTCGGCTACATCAAATCTGACTTTCTAATGAAATATCATAACAGGTTGAATTTTTGCAGTCTTAATACTTCACAAATTGACCGAAATGCTATGTTCGGAATTCTGCAGCAGCTAAATATCACTCTCTGCATCGAACTGATCATTGGTTCTCACGTATGGTAAAATTATGTGGACACAAAAAATAAGGATACCATATTTTCCGGTGTATAAGTCGCATTTTGTTCCAAATTCCGGTCTTGTACGATGGCGCGACTTGTTTAGAAACGTTTTCATGAAAACTTCTCGTGGCTGCAGCAAGTCCTCCATCGCCCGCCAAGGAGTGCGAAAGGCATGATAGATAATGGAACAGTTTGAAGGCCACCTGGCACCAGTCTGTTCCATTATCTGTTGGGCCTTCATCTATCGTGAAAACACAAAGCCAAATACGGCAACAGCTGCATTTGCCTTTATGTTCTTTAATTGTATCGGTGCCGTGCCAACCTGCCGTGACCGACAGCGCGAAAAAGCTTGCAGCAATGTTGTGGTGTGTTCCAGTGACTTTGCGTGCCGCCGCAGCGATGCTGTGGTGCCTTTCCGCATTTCAGTGCACCGTAAGACAACTTTATGCGTCATTGCTCGCAATAATGCGTTGGTGGCTGCCACTTGGCCGAAAGAGGGTCGCTGCGACGCGCCGCGTTTCAGTGCGCCATACTACAAACGCTCTGGTGGCTCCCACGCGTCGAAGGAGCGTCGCTGCAATGCGCCGTGCCGTGTTCCAGTGCGCCACATGACAACTTTAGAGACACCACTTGCAACAACGCTGTGGTGGCTCCCACATGTGCCACACGGCAACTTGACACACTGCCGCTCGCAACGACGCTGTATTGGCTCCCACATATGCCACACGGCAACTTTACTTGCTGCTGCTCACAACGGTGCTGTGGTGGCTCCCACATGCGTCTCCTTCCAGTGTGCCGCACGGCAACTTTACACGCTGCTGCTTAGAACGACGCTGTGGTGGCTCCTACATGCACCGAAAGCGCTTTGCTGTAACTCGCCACGTTCCAGTACGTCACATGGCAACTTTATGCGCCGCCGCTCGCAACAATGCTGTGGTGGCCCCACACGCGGCGAAGGAGCGTCGCTGCGACGTGCCGCTGCGATCTCGGATACAAGCGCGACTTTATGCCAACTTTTTCGTGAAGATGTTTCAATATAGGAGGTGAAGCTTATAGTCTGGAAAATACATTACTCAGTGAATCTAAAACTGGATATAAGATGACACTGTTGTATAGTTATAGTTCCTGAATTTTGTGTTTCTTTTTCTTTTCAGATCACGTGATTGCCAAATTTCCGGGTGAATCATCAAAGACTGTCAAAGAGTACCTGAGGAGGAAGTGCAGTAACACCTCATACTTGCGAAAGAAGAATATAAATTAACAAACAAGATTAGCTTTCTTTCATTTATTTATTTTCACAAGTTCAGAGATTTTAGTTTATAATGATTTTAGAAGCTTTTAAATTATTTTAGAATTTTCCATGTTTAAGGCAGCGGCCCCACGACGCAAGCTTTAATGTTGGCTTTTTAGGTTTTATTTTTTTAGGGGTACTTAAGAAATAGCTACAGAGCTGTTGTTTTGCAGCTATGTTTCTAATATCGGTGGGTAAATTACAGCAACACGTTATTGACATAACTAGCTTATGTGATCAGAAAATTGGAAATTTAGAAATTGCTTACTGCTTCCAAGATTTCTCCTTTAATATTAAAGCTTGGGTTACCATTTTTCCGCTCGCATTGTCACGGCTACAGGCTTTGCTCTATGGAGCCCGTTTCTGAAATTTCAATTAATAGGTCAATCAAGTTTGGTTGCAATTTACCCACCAATATTAGAAAAATGCCTGCAAAACGACACCTCTGTAGTTATTTTCCAAGTATCATAAAAATATAAAATATAAAGGGCAACTCCTCTTCATTTTTGTTTTTGAAAAAAATGATGCAGTCCTCTTCAGTATCATTTAGGAAGGGGACCACACGTCAAATATTGCGATAAAGTTCTATGTAAATGTTTCTTAAACGGTCCGGCAAACATTGCAACTTGCCATATTGCCGAAATCTGCTGAATCGAGCCGGCAAATTGAGGCGCAACCAACAGTGCAGTCAAGGCTACTGCGTGGGCATAGCAAACATTGAGCTAAGCATCATCACCATTTTGCTTGTTTTTACTTCTCCGGGCAAGCACAACAGGTGATGTCAGTAACGTTTCTTCTCCGTGCACCTGCGCAGCATACTTCTTGGGAGCTGCCAGGCCTCCCCACCGTTACCTCCTGATGTCTCCCGCATCACAACCGCCGTTGTCGTCTCACCGTTTGTGATTATTGTCCCTCGGAGTTTCGTCCACAGACCGGACACCATGTGCGCAGACTTATGCCGCAGTTATGCAGACGTCGTCGAATGTCTTAGACACCAAAACATGGTGAAGAGTGCGGTGCAGACGACACTTGCGCCTGGCACACTGCTGACCCAATCCCTCCCGTTATTGCGTAGAGGATCACGTGACATCTCATACCTCGTGATAGCCATATTCTTGGCGGCTCGAAGACAGTGTTGCTGGAGGGAGCCAAAGTTTCAGTTTCGATTTCTGCTCGTGTTTAATATTAGATTTAAAAATGTACCTCTTTTTTTCGCGGAGCAGATGAAGTAGTGCCTTTTACAAGGGCTTTTTAATGTGAAATCACTCATTATCCCGAAATCCTTGGAATTGAGCGGAGTTGCCCTTTAATGCTGTTTTCAAACAAGTCTGATATTTTTATGATTTGTGTGATATTTTAACTATTTGAAGTGTTTTTTTTTTTTTTTTTATACAAGTGCAATATTTATCTATTGAAAAACGTGTAAACAAGTCTGATCTTTTAAACCCTTGTGATATTTTTATGCTTTGTGTGATATTTGTAACTATTTGAAGTGTTTTTTTTTTACACAAGTGCAATATTTATCTCTTGAAAAACATGTTTTATCTTTGAGTTATAAAAGACAGTGTGACATTAGAGGGAAGGTTAATCCCCAAGGTGGTGCAGAGGTATGAAAATATAACTGGACCTCCACCTCAAAGGAACATAACTCACATGCTCTGGGCGACTGGCGAACGTCTAAAACCAGTCACCTGTGACTCTGCCTATTTTTTTTTGGCAACTGGCTGATTGGGCTTTATTGGAAAATGTGCATTTGTAATGATTTTATTTGATTGTTTTTATTTTAATAAAAGTTCCTACTGCAGTTAATCTGTATTTAATTTGTGCCCTTATTCCATGTCATTCTCTGTAACATATGAATTTTTTTAGTTACAGGGAACTGGAATTTCAAATTATATTTTATGAAGACCCTGATATATAATTAGTCATGAATAAATTATTGAAATGCTTTAAAAGCCCTACTGGTACCCCAGAATATACCTGGGAGGCTTACTTCAAGGAGCCTAAAATGCTGCTTAATAGCATACTAATAGGCTGCATTAAAGCATCCTAAAGGCCGCTTGAAAGTTTACTATTAACCCGCTTGAAAGTATACTAATAGTCCGCTTGAAAGCATACTAAAATGATGGCTAGAAGTATCCTAAAAGTGCCATTAAAGTAGAAGCCAACCGAATCTTGAAGCAGACTTCAAGTGTCTTAATAGTATGGGGAAATGTTACTTGAAAGTATGTTAAAAGCTTACTAAAAACCGGCCAATTTAGAGCAACAAGCATACTTTTGGAAGTACAAATAAAGTATACTTTAAGAGCCCCGGTTTTTCGCTAAGGGCTGTTACTATGGTGACGCTTACGACGAGCCAAAGGGGACGCGCTGTGGTGCACGACGCAACGCAGCGCAACGCAGTCGACGCAACTGCCTGAACGAGTCTTTACGCGTTTGACGAGCCTTTCGAACGCAGAACGCCGGCGTCCGGGGGTTGGCTCTCCCATTCGAAGGTGCTCGATGAGTGCAGTGGAGGCAAATGCAGGCTTTGTCTCCACTGCACTCGTCAAACGCGTTCAAATGGGAGAGCCAAACGCCGGCGTTCCGCGTTCGAAAGCGTTCGACGAGTGCACTGGAGGCAAAGGCAGCTGTAGCTTTAGCTGTACCCACTAATCATTCAAAAGAGAGCTCGGCGTTCTCACGTTCCCGTGCACTCTCGTATCCTCTTCTCTGTCAGTTTCTCGGCGCATTACACATTACACACGCGAAAAATTTTCGAGCTAAACTTAGCGAAAAAATTTTCTCGCTAAATTTAGCGGAAAATGTCTCCGCCAAATTTAGCGGAAACAATTTCCCAACTAAATTTGGCGGAAAACTTTTCCCACTAATCTTAGCGGAAAACGGTTTGCGCTAAATTTAGCGGAAATATTTCTCGCCAAATTTAGCGGGAAAGGTTTACCCTCGTGACGTCTCACATGACGTCACGTCTGACGTCACACGTGGCCCTCCCATCTGTATTCTCTTCTACTCCTCAAGAGCTGCGCTCTAAAGGCCCGTTCACACTGTGCCATTTCTTTTGTTAAGCTACGTTACGAACTCTTACGACAACTTACGACCGCCCGTGACCATGGCAACCAGCGACGCAACGCGAGTCGTAACGCAATGCGAGGAGTTGGGCTTGGCTCAACTTTTCTTCAGAATTCTTACGACCGCTTACGTTCAACAAATCGGGACTCGCGAAAGCGAAGCTCCTGGGCATGCGCGCTACGCTCGGGAGCCCGGCGCTGCTCTCCAAAATGGCGACCGACTCAAAGATTCTGTCGACGCCGGCGACGGTCGACGCCGGAGGCGCTGGCGACGGCGCACAAGATTTCCACACTAAAAGACAGGCACAGAAAAAAAAAGAAAAACGTGTACAGCACTGATTAGCAACTCAGGTTTGTGTTTCTTCTTTCTCTAACCATCTTCTTCTCATTGCGAAACGAAACATTAGAGAAAGAATATACGCTGAGAATTTAAGTCTTAAATATGATGAAGAAAAAGGAAAAATAACAATAAGAAATACTACGCTTAAAATAACATAAAACCGTCATTTTATTTTCGTTTTGTATATCTAAATATTTAAAGTGAAATAACACCGTCTGACGACGGCAGGGTACAGTGCGAACGCGCATATCGTAAGCGGCCGTAACGCAAGTTTTCGTAAGAGTTCGAAACGTAATTTAACGAAAGAAATGGTACAGTGTGAACGGGCCTTCATTCGGCATTGCAGAGAATAGACCCTCTCCGGAATTCAGTCTGGCCACTTTGATCACTATCATCATCTGAAAAATTGCATATGCGCTATACTAATGGCGGCCTTCTGTTTACTGATGAAGAAAGAAATTGAAGATGCTCCTAAGCAGACGATTCGAGACCTATACAATGTAGACGTTAGCGCGACGTGAAGCAGGAATTAGATGCAAGAGCTGCGTAAGCGTTCATTTCGTTCGCGTTCGCGTAAGCGTTCATTTCGTGTATTCATAAGAATGCACGGGAGCACCGCAAAAGAAGACTGGGGGGCTATGTTGCGCTTTTTGCACTCCCAGGAGACTTGGAAGAGGGAAGTGACGTCAACGACAAGAGCAAATGCAGATTGGATGTTGACAGAAGAAAACAAACTCAACATCCAATCTGCATTTGCTGCGTTGTTGACGTCACTTCCCTCTCCCTAGTCTCCTGGGAGTGCAAAAAGCGCAACATAGCCCTCCTGGTTGCTGTCTGGTTCAATTTGCGTCACGGAAGTCGCGTTGACTCTAGCGCCAGTTGAACCTCTAGCGTACATTATAATAACTCTATGGGTCAAATGCTGAAATGCGTATATAACCACGTTCCATACCACAGATTATCTTTCTGACATGGATGAAAACGAACGAAAGGCTCGGCATGCTGCGGCTCACCGTCTACGCAGACAAGCACCACCAGAGCTTCGCCCCAATCAACATCATTCACCACGTGAAGACGAGTTTTTTTTTTTTGCCCTACACGAGCACAGGAGCATGTGCTCACGTGCTCGTGAGCACGTGAGAGCGTGAGCTCACGAGCAGGAGCACGTGCACCCGACGCCGGCCGGACATACGGACATGGCTAGCCCCTAAGGAGAAGCTCCTTAGGGGCTAGCCATGTCCGTATGCCCCTAAAAACGGACCCGTGAAATAGATCTTTGATGAAAAGTTTAGATTGTCTCGTGCAGGCGTCGATTTTTATGGTCCATTCTAGATCGAGCCTATACTCCGTTTCACCTTATGTTGTACCGCAGCGAAGGCTAGAAGCGCGAGCTCATAGCGTTGGCAGCTGCCCTTGTAGCACGAGAGCATGTGCCGCCGAGATGTGTCCTAGAGCAAGGAGCTCGCGCTTGTAGCCTTTCTTGCGGTACAACACAAGGGGAAACAGACTATAGTGACAGTAACGGCTTGTGGTTTGGGCGCCGTGGGACCCGGAAAGGCAGGGAGCCAGCCTTTGGGGGGGGGGGGGGGAAGCGCTTTATTCGAGCTCCAAGTGTTGCTTGAACCAGCTCCGGCCCAGAACTGCCTGTCTCGTCGATTCTTCCTTCCGTCGTCACGTCGCCTTTCCTCGACGCGCCAATCAGCGCACACCACGGGTAACAAAAATATAACAGTCGCACAACCCGATAACCCGTCGGCGACGGCGCTGAATCTGCTGCCTCATGCATGCCACATGCATGACAGTGACTTCAGGCACCATGATATATTAGCGGTGATGACCGCGACTTAATGCTCAGTGCTGAAGCTCTTTCCGCACACTGCTGCGACTGGCTATACCTGAGTGCTTTGAGAAATACAGTATAGTCGCTCCATATGTGTTTCTAAAGTGAATACCAGAAAAAAAGAAGAAAAAAGACGGACATTGAGAAAGCCAGTAAACGCACAGAGATTTATGAAATAACCACATGGGCCCAGCGAAGAAGTATGATTGGGTGCATCTCATCAGGAAGCGCAGCTGGACTTGGGGAAAATAAAAAAATCAAACAGAGGCACACCGGAAGCTCATTAAAAGGGAAAAATAATGAGTCTTTTCAGATGTTCTAAACTTCAAATCGTTCAAGGCACAGAACCCGACGCTAAAACAAAATATCCGTAAAAAAATTAAAAAGGAAGAAAGAAAAACAGTTTTCAATTGTTTTTGAACGAGCCTACTTTTAATTAGAGCCTAGACGGCTCAGAGTCAAGAGCGAGAGAACGAGAGAGAGAAAAGAGTAATGTCAATATTTTCCCTTATTTGTTGTCCCGGTATTTTTATCTATAGGAGCGCATGGCCGCGAGCATCGAGGCCAAGTTTAAAGAAACTTTCATTCTCTACACCAGAGCCTGTTATCAAAGAACGCGAAAGCCTAAAGCGTCAGCTTAATTCTAGCGCAATATTTACGCGGCGCCATGAGTACCGCCGCTGTTATTCGCGGCATTTAATGCAATCACCGGTTAACAAGACCCATTTCAAAGTTGCTGCCATTCCCTCGATCAGGCTATTTCACGAGAGGAAACAAAGCCTGACCTTTGTCGACAATGACCTCATTCGTCAGAACAAGAACATGTCAATCTAACTTTCTCGATTAAAGGGACGCTAAACTTTAAAAAAAAAGGATGCTTTTTTGCTAAGTGTTTGAACAACTGTCCAATTCAAGCACCTAATAAAACAGATATGCCTTCTAAGAAAGGCCTGCGAGTTCACGTTCCTACAGAACACGGACACACGTCAGTCACAGACAGAGGTTTATAGAATCGTTCCGATACCTCCGAAAAGAATGCCCGATACTCCGCCGCCACCTTTGCGCGCGCATCGTACGGTTATCGGGTGACGGTGTCGGAGGTACCGAAAACTATCTGCTAAAATTCTCCCATGACGAAGCCCGGAATACGGTGAGACCAAAACAATGCGAAGTTCGCAGGACAATGAGCGCGAGATTTCACTCGCACGCTGTTATCGTATTCTGAGCTGCGTATCCGTTTTACGTGTATCCGTGTTCTCAGAAAATGCGTTTTTTTAAGACTGTGAGACTGGTTTTGCGTGAGCAGCAATAGACCTTTCGCTAAATTACCCAAGCATCAAAGAGAATGTTGGGAACGTAGGTACACGCGTTGCACGTGCTCGGCTTCCCGATGCAAAAGATTCGAAGTAAATAACCCCAATAAAGCGCGCATGGAAGGCGCGTGCGAAGTGCCGTTTGTTCTAGATTTTTTGCTTTCGAACCGTAAGAGCTGAAGAAGTCAGCACGCGCATTGCAAGTAAACTACGTTCCCAGTGTTCTCTTTGATGCTCGGGTAATGCGG